TCTCCCCAAGTTTCGTCCATCAGTCCCCCAAGCCCTGTCTCCTTCCCAGCCAACTACAGCCCTTCTTCCGACTAGGATGCCCGATTAGCACACCTCCCTTTTCACATTCAGGGTCGCAACTGGCTTCACAGACACTGGGGTACAGGGGTTATCTATCCCCAGGCTAGCTGGGGAGCTCAGAATAGATATAAGGGTGCATGGGCTCCCTATGCCCAGGCTAGCTGGGGATCTCAGAGCCTGGCCTCTGGCCCCTCACTGTCCCTGACAGCCACAGCACCAGCCCCTGGGCCTCGCACTGGAGAGCTCTACAGCGCCCTGCCACGGAGCGGGCCACAGTGCAGTTGCAGTCAGGGTCCTGAAACTCAGACAGACATCCGGCTACCCTCAAAAGCCAGGAAGCTCTGTCACCATTCCTGGGAGAAGTCTGGGGTCCCTGTGGACTCTGCTTTTCCTGACTCCTCACTTGTGCCCTCCCCTGGGTCATCCTGACTCTCCAGGCCTGGAAGCAACTGCAGGAATCCAGCCAAGGCCCCGCTCAGGCCCCTGCCAGGCGAGAGGGTCCCACCCCCGTGTGTTGCTGTCAGAGCGTATCGGTCCTCCGCGAGCCTTGGGGAATTCACATGGATGGTTTTCGCTTCTCTAGCAAGGGTTCCCTTCCTGTGAGTGCATTAAGTGTGAATTAATTCGAGTGGGGAAAAGGCACTCAGCCCCTGAATTTGTAGCCACTGGTGCTGGAGTCAGGAAATAGTCACAGAGGTCTTAATTTCTGTTAACATGCAAAGGCACCTGGGTAGTGGAGCCAAAGAAAAAGCATTTGACCAAATCCCAGAGGGATGAGGGTTCCCATCCGGAATTTTCCATGTGGTCTTGGACCAGCCACGTCGTCTCTTGGAGCCTCAGCAGCCACCACAGATAACAGTCCCTCTCCCTCACTGCTACCTGCATTTGAGACCCTCTTCTGGGCTGAGCTCAAATTCAGACACAGAATCGAGAGTGCTTTCTTGAAGTGCCTTTTGCGATTGCAAATATTGGAGCCTCATAAGATGGGAAGATATGCAAGGTAGAATTAAATTGCACAGAGGAAAGGTTTCTAATTCTGGTTCTAATAAGCACAAGTGAAAAGACGGTATGGAGGTTTCAGGCAGAAAAGGAAGAATTTGTGCACGTGTGTACCTGTGCTGCTGCTTTTAGCCAAGCCAGAAGGGACAAATTAAACAGCTAATGAAGCAGCGGCGTTTGCTCATGAGATGCTGGTCCCCGGTTCTCTGTGGATACAGGTGCCAGATGGAGGTATCTGTAAACCCTGGTCCTTGGGGCCACCAGGCACATGGGCTGCCTTGACCAAGGAGACCACCAAGATGGGGGCAGTTTCAGGAAGATAAGTAGCCTCAGGAAACGTTTTCCCTCCCCGGGACCAGACTTCAGAATGTCCAAGGTGGGAGAGCTGGCTAAGGAGAAGTCACATGACCTAGAGGGGCAGAGAATCCAGCTGGAGCTGGAGGTGGGAGCAGGGAGTGGCCTCATCCCTGGCCTCAGAACAGATTCTTCTCCAAAATCCTTCAGCATTCATTGATGGCCCTGGACCAAGCTTGTAGGAGCTGGTGGGAAGGGAGCTGCTTCAGGCCCTGGGCAGCACAGCAGAGAGCTTGGCAGGTTCCCTTATGGTGCAGCAGGAGGAAGTCCACCTCTCCTGGCAAACGCGTGGACTCATTTATCAAGTAGAGGCTAAAAAATAAAAGAACAGATCCCATTCCAGTCCTCTGCCAGTGCCCTGATCAAGACCACCTCTAGGAAGGCCGTCATGGTGGTCCCATGAGGTGGGCAAGACCATGGGCTTGATAGGTGGGGTCCACACCCACCATGCAGCCCCAAGGGAGGTACCTGGGTTCCTGTGGGTTCAAACGTGGCTTTCCATGATTTCCTGCGTGTCAGCCACAGCCAATGAATATGGTAAATCGCTGCAGAAAGCAGGATGGGGAACTCCCATGTGATGATGCCCTGTATGTTTGCTCCAAATTTTCTCCCTTCTACATGGAGGGGAAGTCAGGGCCGCATTGAGAGGCGTGGCCCCATGTTAGGGTCTAGACCTTGTCACAGCCCTCCCAGGGACCTGCCTTTGGAATGACTTGGCCATCAGCCCCCAGCTCTCATCTGCCTCCCGGCTCAGCATGAGGCCGCTGCGACTCTGTTTGGTAAGAGAGATGTAGGTGGGGTGGCCTCCTGTGGTGCTGACTTCATCCACAGAGTGAAGGCCACAAAGGCGACACCTCCTTCCTGTGCTTGGGACCCCCGGCGCCCTGCTCCTGAGGCAGAATCAGTGCCGGCCGAGCCATGCCCCGAACTGCTGACTATCCCTCCTGCTTCTCCGCGTTCTTTGCTAGACTCGCGGCTACACGGAGGCATGGGTTCCCTGCCTTCTCCTTTCCCCAGCACACCGAACCAGTATGGCTCCCGGCACCTGGGAGGTGCTTGACAAATATTTGTTGAGTCAATTGCTGACTGCTCAGACCTGTTCTTTCCCGGTGCAGGAGAGAAAAAGCCACTTTCTCTGCAGGGAACATTTACAGAATGTTCCAGTCTCCGATCATGAGGTCAGGAGATCCAGACCATCCTGGCTAATACGGTGAAACCCCATCTCTACTAAAAAATACAAAAAATTACCCGAGTGTGGTGGTGCACACCTGTAGTCCCAGCTACTCGGGAGGGTGAGGCAGGAGAATTGCTTGAACCTGGGAAGCGGAGGTTGCAGTGAGCCAAGATCTCACCACTGCACTCCAGCCTGGGTGACAGAGTGAGACTCTGTCTCAAAAAAAAAATAATAGAATAAAATAGAACGTGCCAGTCTCTCCATGTCTGCACTCGGCTCCCCTCTGCTTGGCTCCACCCTTACTCCCTGAGGAAGTAGCCTTCTTCCTCCTTCCTGCTCTGGCCAGAGCTTCAGGAGTCCAGCCAGCGGCATGGCTTTGCGTATCAACCAGCTGTCAGTCACAGTGGCCAGAGGTGTTCATCTTCTACCCCCTCTATCAGGCCTTTGGGAGAGAGTCCTGGGGGTCTTGGAAGTACACAACCAGAGCTGGTGAAGTAAGGAAAGGAGATGCAGGACCCAAGAGGGCAAGGTTCTGCTGAAGTTGGTGGGGAGGGCAGGAGCCGGAGTCCCTCCTGGAAATCACGGTGGTTTCATTCAGGTCCAGGCAGCCAGCAGGCAGGGAAAGGGCATTCTGCCAGAGAATAGAGCCGCAGAAAGTCAGGCGACGGATTCCAGCAGACCCAGCGGCTGGTTACTTAGAAATCCGGCCCAGGAAGCCTCGTGGCTTTTGTGAGGTCACAGGCTGGCCGTCGGCGTGGGGTGAGGGCTCTGCCCAGCCCCCCTGGTCCTGACCCTGGCTGGGACCCTGGCAGCACGTTCTGCCTTCTGTGAGAGTTATCCAGCTAGCAGGGGACGAATTCGATGGTGACGCGCTCTAAAAAGCAGGAAAAACCAGAACACCGTTGTTGCTCCTTTAGTTATGAATGATCAGTATTCTTTTTCTGTGTCCTGAAGAGGAATAAAAATATCATTGAGGAAGAGATGAGAGGAAATTGTGTGAAGTTGTACGGCTGGGACAGGAAGCAATATTTTCTCCTTTGTCACCGGGGCCATGTGTGAGATCTTAGAATCTCACCGGATCTCCATCCCTTCTGGAATTCTCCGAGGTCCAGGGGGTGAGGTCCTTTGTCATCCAGTGTCCAGATGGCCCAGGCTGAGAGGCAGTCACTGGACCAGAGTATCGGAGTGACCACTGGACGCGGCGCTCTGCCTCAGAGTGCCGGCCCCTTCCGATGGAACATCCCCATCCCCACTGCCGCCAGAGCACTTCACCGGACGCGACTGTGCACTCAGCAGCAGCCCCATTAATTCCTGTTTCACGTGCACAGTCTCTAGAGGCAATGTCACCTGCCGGAAGCCACGTGGATGAAACACTCCTCTGAACATCAGCTTCCCCGTTAATGAATCAACACGCAATATATGCGTGTGTATGTGTGTGTATGCATATATAACCTGTCTCCAAAACATATATGTACACACACACACATTATATGTTTTATATATCTACATAATACCAACATTATATATATATATGTTTTATATATATATAATACATGCATTATATATATATATTTTTACATATATATATTATATATATATGTTTTGGAGACAGGTTCTTGCCGTCACCCCAGCTGGTGTACAGTCGCGCCATCACAGCTAAATGCGGCCTCGACCTCCCAGGGCTCAAACAATCCCCCCACCTCAGCACCCTCCCCCTGCCGCCGCCAGTAGCTGAGACGACAGACATGCATCACCACACCCAGCTAAGTTTTGTATTTTTTTGTAGAGTCAGAGCTTTCACTCTGTTGCCCAGGCTGGTCTCAAACTCCTAGGCTCAAGGGACCCACCCGCTTTGGCCTCCCAAAGTGTTGGGATTACAGGCCTGTGTCACCGTGCTCAACCCCCAAACATACAATATTAATGCTTTATCATCAGGTTTCAAAAGCAGAGCTCTACTGAGGGGGCGGGGTGAGTGATGCTGCCTGCCCCATGTACACGTGCTAGGAGGGCACTTTGTCTGGAGAGAATATTCCAATAACAGTAAAGCCAGCTAAATGTCCCTTCCTTTTTTTTTTTTTTTTTTTTTTGGGAGAAAAAGCCTTACTCTGTCACTCAGGCTGGAGTGCAGTAGTTCGACCCTTGGCTCACTCAACCTCCGCCTCCCGGTTTCAAGTAATTCTCCTGCCTCAGCCTCCTGAGTAGCTGGGATTGCAGGCACGTGCCACCACAACTGGCTGTATTGTATTTGTAGTAGAGATGGGGTTTCACTATGTTGGCCAGGCTGGTCTCGAACTCCTGACCTCCAGTAATCCACCTGCCTTGGCTTCCCAAAGTGCCAGGATTACGGGCATGAGCCATCGTGCCCAGCCTTTCTCTTCCCTTTTAATCATCACCATGACCCCCAGTTCTAAAAATCGTCAGCGACACAATATTCCTTCCCCTAGTCGTTGGTCCAAGATTTAAGCAATTGCTGCAGTTGCTGTTGAAATGTGTCTGTGAACCTCAGCTCACTCATTCTAAAGGAGTAGAATGAATACGTTCATTTGGAATGAGTAAGCTCAGTTCACAGAACCTCACTGAGAAATGAGGTTTACTCGCTTCCGTTTGCCTGGAATGAAGTCTTCAGGGACCGGAATGGCCTAAGCCGGCTTTTGCCACAGTTCTGGTCTCTATGACCTGCGATGACCATTCCTGCCATTACACAGTCGATTTGAAACAGACATGAGGACACAGCAACTATAAAGGCAAAGCGAACTTGGTAGCTTCGGTGCTGTCCTTCTAACTAGCTGCTATAGTTTCATCTGTGTTTAAAATTTGAAACAGCGGTGGATGTGAACTGCAGGGTGGATTTTTTTTTTAGTAAATGCAGATTTCAATGCTTATATGTACTGTCTTATTGGCTATGGATAATACCTTTAAAATGGATATTCATTCTTTCAAAATGTTTGGTTTTAAAACTGATGCACAAGTCAAGAAAATGGTGGCTATTACATGACTGTTAATGAAAATGATTTTGCCATACAGAGGACAGGCACGTGCCTGTAGTCCCAGCTTCTCAGGAGGCTGAGGCAGGAGGATCACTTGAGTCCAGGTGTTGGAGGCTGCAGTGAGCTATGACTGGGCCACTGCACTCCAGAGATCCTGCCTCAGTAGATAGCTTAGGCAGATAAATAGTAGATAGTTTAGATATAAATAGATTAGATAGATGGATAAGTGGATGGATGGATAGATAGGTGCATAGAGATGGATGGATTAGGTAGGTAGGTAGATAGATTAGACAGATGATTGATAGATTAGATAGATAAGATGGATTGCTGGATGAATGGATGGATGAATGGATAGAGGAATTTCTGTGTACCGATCACATATTCTTTAGTCTGTTCAAAAACATACTTTTGCATGGGGGCGCTGCCGCCAGCCTGCCCACATCGTGTCTCCTTTCTGATCACCTGTGTTCCTGTCACTGATGCCCGGGGGCTGTTTTTGAGGACTGCTTGCCCAGCGTGCTAGTGACAGGGGCTGGTGCTGGGAACGAAGGTTATTTGTTCTTCTCATTGGCATCGCCGTTTGATATTCCGATCCCATGAGATAAACGATAGCAAAGTTGTTCATGAACTGGCAAAAAAAAAACAATTGGTAAATGGAGAAAGCAATGTCCGGGACTGTGGGCGGGGCTGCCCTCGGGTCCTTCTTTGCAGAGCGAGTGGGGCGGTGTAAGTGGTTGCTGCGGGCTCTGCCCTGTGCCGCCATCTTTGCAGTGACCCTGAAGACCAGAACTGCCCCAGGTGGCACTGCCTAGCACCTCTCCAGAAGAAGCCCCGAGAGGGTGGGGGCAGCACGTCCTCCTGCTGGGAATGGCCAGGTTAGGGGTCCTGCCTGCCTCACCTCTGCTGTTTCCAATTTCCTGTTTGCCTGTTGAAAGGGTCTAGGGCCCCTGGGCCCTCCTGCCTCATGACCCAGCATGATTCCTGGGAGCCCCACACGTCCCAGCCTCGTCAGCTCTCCCCTGCCCTCCTCTTGCTCCTGGGTTTTGTCAGAGGATGCTAATGCTCTCCGGGCAAATGGTATCAAATGCATTTGAAAGGCAAAACTCATTGTTCAGCATCTGAGAATAGCCTCTGAGTGCTGGGATGCCACGGTTGCCATGGCAACGGCTCTTTGTTTTAGGGAACCATAAACATATGATCCTATAAACCGCCGGGCCCAAGCAGCAGGTTTCACCTTCCTGAGGGCGGCCACCCAGGAGGCACAGGCCCCAGGATGGGCATGGGAACTATCTCCTCTCTCCCTGTCTTGCCGGTGCCCAGGATGTCGTTAGCCTTTGTCATGTTTGGAGCTGAGGGATGTGGAGGTTGTCAGTGCGGGGAGCGCACAGACAGCAGGAATGTTCTGCGCCTGCCCCGAGGAGCTGGGCTCTACATGGTGTCATGGGGTCCCTGCCTCTCAGCAAGCAATACCATGCTCCAGCGTGGCCCCAGACTCCAGCACCAAGCAAAGCAGCCCCCACGACCCTTAAGACAGTGAGGGGTGAGAACCGCCACCAATGAGTTTTCAGCTGGCCAGCGTGGAGGAGAACAGGGACCCGCAGCTGGCCAGGAAGTGGAGGAGGTACTCCAAGGAGCCAGGATGGATGTGATCCAGGGACCAGCCTCTCCTTCCACGTGGCTCACATGGCTCACGTGGCTCACGGACCTGTGTGCCCCTGACTCTGGTCTGTGGAGGTCCCCTCTGTCTGGGAGCCCCTCTTCCCTCCGTCTGAGGGTCTCTCTTCCCCGCATCCAGCCACTTTGTCATTTGCACTCACAGTGCCCACCAGGCGCTTCGAGGGAAGGGTCTTGCCCTTTTTCCTCCCAGTCCCACCAAGCGTCCACCTCAAAGCCTGCGTCCCACTTATCTTCCCTCTTCATGTATGTGGGGTTTTTTTCCTCTTTTCCTCTGTGTACCCAGTCTCCTCTGTAAACTTGAAGGTAGGGAAGCCTGTCTTCACTCCCAAGTGTCCTCCAACGTGAGACTTCAGGAGTGAAGACCATTCCCTACCTTCAGCGTGGATCCACAGCACTAAGTCTGCAAAAATGTCCGGAAAGGGAATGCTTTCTCCACACCTCGTTGGCAGTAGGACTTGACCTGAACTGATCTGAAGTTATTTATAGCTTTTATTTATCCTACTTAGCGTGATTATTCATCCGTCCCCTGAAGGACTCCTCCTGTGATTGGCAGTGGGACGCTGCCCAGACCCACTGGTGGTGTGATGTAACCGCCACACACGCCTCGTCCTCCTGCCGCAGAAGCAGGCAGCAAGCACACGCCCTGGCCCCTCTGGCCCTGGTTTTCAGGGGTGTCGCCGTGGGGCTGTATTTGCTGAATGAACTGCAGAGTTCTTAATCCAAGAAGAATGCTGGGTCTACCTTCTCAGCAGTTCCAAGGCTCCTTTCAAGACAATGTTTTCACGGAGGATGGGATGCGTCTTGCTATAAATATTAATAGAAATCGTATACGGGAATCTCAGATGGCTTCAAAGAGCCTCTCAGTCAGATTCAGACGGGGACTGTGCCTCTTCCCTGGCTGTCCCCTCTCAGCCCTGGCATGGCCACGGTTTGCTATACAACCCTTCTGGGCCCCGTGAGCACCAGGTGGGTCTGGCCCACGCTGCCTTTCAAAGTGAACTCTCTCTTGTCTTTCTTCTCCTTAGGGATACGGTCATATTTATAATATTTGTCTCGACCTCAGTTTCCGTTCTCCCCCTGTCCTGCTTGTTCAGCCGACATGTTGGGGAATCTGCGGGGTCCCAGGCACAGCCTCTCCCTCAGGAGCTCACAGGCTCCGTGGCACACAAATGTGGCCTCAGTGCATGGAGGAGGCCCAGGGCCAGGCTGTGTGGCTCATCTCAGTGGGTGGGGTGGCCCTGGGTCCTGTGCTTGCCCTTGCCCTGCTCTCTGGGCCGCCCACATCCCGCCCCTCTCCCCTGGTGCCAGTGACCCTCGGGGCTGGTGGCCTGCAGAGCCCTCCCCAGACCTCTGCTGGGACCCTCAGACTCATTTCCTGCAGGGCCTGCCGCCAGGCAGCCCAGACCCCCAACTCCCATTTGAAATGTGTCCTTACAAATGCCAAGGACCTCAGAATGTGACCTTGTTTAGAGGTAGGGTCTTGACAGAACTCATCGACTGAAAACGAGGTCATTAGACTGGTCCTTAGTCCAGTAGGACTGATATTCTTATAAAAAGAGGAGATGGGGCCAGGCGCAGTGGCTCATGCCTGTAATCCCAGCACTTTGAGAGTCCGAGGTGGGCAGATCACCTGAAGTCAGGAGTTTGAGACCAGCCTGGCCAACACAGACAGAGGAAATCTGGCCACAGCCACGTGCTGGGGCAAACCTCTTGAGAAGAGGAAGGTGGAGCTCCGGGTGATGCTTCTGTCAGTCAAGGAATGCCAAAAATTGCCAACAGGCCGGCAGGAGTAGGAGAGAGGCCTGGAACAGTCTCTTGATAGTCCCCAGCAGGAACCCACCCTGCTGACACCTTGACCTCAGACTTCCTGCCTCCAGAACCATGAGACAGTACATCCCTGTGGTCAGTCATCCAGGCTGTGGTTGCAACAGCTCCAGGGAACACACCCCACCTTTCCTGGCCAGCTGGCCCTTCTTCCTGGGCACCCCATCTCAGTGATGGCCCAGGAACCCAAAATCCAAAAATCTTCCTGGATCTTTCCTGGCCCTCACCTGCTCCTTCCCCATCCATTCAGGACCAGTCCTTTCCATTTTTCCTCTTTCCTGAATCTGCCCCTCCCTCCCTGCTGGTTGGACTCTCATTTTGGCTCAGCTGGACTGCAGGAGAGGACAGCACTGAGTCTGGCCCCAGGTTCGTTTCTCTGAGTCCCCCGGAACAGACGGGAGCACCCTCTGCCTGGGTGAGCCTCCAGCACTCAGGTTCTGCTGCTGTGCTGTCCTCAAACCCTTACGTGGTGCCCCGGGGGCGCACTTTCCTTATATCTGATGACAGCAGTCATCAGATGTAGGGCCTCCCTAACCCAGGGTGACCTCATCTCAACCTCACTGATTACATCTGCAAGGAGGCAGTGACCCTATTTCCAGTGAAGACCCCATTCTTAGGTCCTGGGTGGACACGATTTTGGGAGGACACTCTTGTGGACGTTTGTGGGAGTTTCTGGGTATGTGAGAAGGCGGAGCCTGGGGAGCTTCAGGCAGAGGGGAGCGTTCACATAATTAGCCGTGGGATCCCCACACTGACCCAGCAGCGAGTGGGTACCCAGCGCAGCAGTAAGTGGCCACAGGGACAATTCTCATTCCCTCCAACACCACCATGAGACTCCCCTTTGAACCCCTGTCTGGGCGAGGACAGTCAAGGAGATGACAAGGACATGCCAAGATGACATGGTGGTCGCTGAGCCCAGGGCGCCCACCCCAAGGAAGGCTCTGCTGGTAACCAGGTTTCTAGCCCGGGACACAGAGCAGAGTGCTGGGCGCTGTCAGGAGCTCCATGCCCAAGCCTGGCTTGATGGGGAGGCCGTGGGCAGCAAGGCGGGACAGGCAGCCTGCCATGAGCCGAATGCTCTGCACACGCTTTGCTGTGAAATATCAAAGCCTCCTCCAGCACAGGCTGAGATCGGAAGCTTCCATCACTCTGGTACGGGAAACGTGGAATCCTGTTGGTCCCAGTGAGTTTAACAACACACCAACCGGCGCATCCCGACCGTTCTGTGGTCCGTGGACCAATGCGTTCTCACCTGTCTGAAACCTGCTGGTCTGGGGGCCTCTAGGACAGATTGTCGGGGTCTGTGGTATATGAGTTTGCTCCAGCTGCCATCACAAAGCACCACAGACAGGGAGGCTGACAGGCCATGTATCGTCTCACAGTTCTGGGGGCTGGAAGGCCGAGATCAAGGGGTCTCTGGACCGGTTCCTCCTGAGACCCCTCTCCTTGGCTTGCAGACTTTGCCTTCTCCCTGTATCCTCGTGCGGTCATCCCTCTGAACGTCTGTGTCCTGATCTCTTCTTGTAATGACACCAGTTGGATTGGATTTAGGACCGCCCCGTCTGGCCACATTTTAATTTAGTCGCCTCTTTAAAGCCCTTGTCTCCCCCAATACGGTCACCTGCTGAGATCCTGGGGGTTAAGACTGCGTCACATGAGTTTTGTGGGTGACACAGTTCAGCCTCTAGCACTCAGCACCCACCTGGCCGTGGCCTCTGACCACGGGACACCCTCCCCCGACATCCTCTGGACTGTGGCACCGTCGGTGAGAATTGGGCAGGTTTGTGGAAGAGAATGTCTGAGGATGAGGAGGGCCACACGACGCGTCCCTCCGAGGCTTTCCACTCCAGGGCCCCTTTGCAGATGGGACTTAGGACTGGCTGTGGCAGCTCCTGTCACTGTGCTCCCGGTGTGGGTGGGGCCCTGGGCTGCCCCCGCGAGGTGTGGGGCTGACTGTGTCAGGTGTGGACACAGCCCTGCTCAGTCCACAGGCCGTGAGCCTGGACTCTGGAACCCACCTTCCTGATTTGTGTCGACTCTGCCCTTCTCAGGCTGTGCAACTTTGGACAAGTTACTTAACCTCTCTGTGCCACCGCTGCCTCCTCTGTATCATGGGGATAAGCAATAGTCAGTAGCTTCATGCCCAGCTAGTAGCAGTGGAGGTAGAGGGACTCTTTGACTGTCATTGCTTATTATAGTGTTATTTCCATTTGACACATGGAGGAATCGAGGCCTGGGAGTTTATCCAACTTGGCCAGGCTTATTGTGGCAGGCACAGGTTATGAACCTGGGGTTGTCCAAGAGCAGATCGCACCGTCCCAGGTCCGTGGACAGGTATCTGTGTGCCCCATCTCCCCTGTCGACCCCATCAGCCTCTCATCCACGCGACCCACCGTGTTCACCTGCGCCCTCTGGGCCAAGGTGTTGAAAGTGAGAAGGAAGGAGTCTTCCTCAAGAAAACGAAACTCTTCATTAGACTTCCTATTTGTGTCTTCAATTATGCTGTCAAATGCTGAAGAGTTTAGACACTTCAGGCCAGCGCTGGGCCCTTGGTGATGGTGCGCACCATTTGCATAATCAGCATGGATGGACCTGCTGGTAATTCCACCCCAGTGTTTGCCCAGCACTGACACTGATCAATTTAGAGGGAGGCACAGTCAGTGATGGAATTAAGTGGTGGCAAACACACTGTCAGTACATGAAATCCAGACAGAGGAAGACGGACGGGCGGGCGGGATGCAGGGGCCGGCAGGTGCAGGAACAGCGGAGGCCGTGACCTGGGACCTGTGTGCCGAACGCTAAAATGCTTCCTCGGAAATTTCAGAGAGTTAGAGGCAATAAAGGTCAGCAGTGGAATACTGTCACAGAATAATGACTCTGTGCCGCTGGGTAAATGTTAAAGCTTTTATTGGGATGAGACGTGGATGTGTAGCTGGCTCTGAATTCAGTGGGTAATGAATACAAATCTGTAGCACCCATTCTCAAGAGGGAACGTGGCCGAGATGACCCCACAGTCACGAGCCAGTGACCTGGGCAGGCTTTTCTGACTTCGGGCAGTGTGTCCGTGAAGGCAGCCCTGGCTTCATCCTTTTGCCTTCTCTCCCAGTGGTACGGAGCTGCCGGCCCGTGTGGCGTGGGAGCTGCCTTAGGGCTTCCTTCATTCTCCGTTTGTGTCTGGGTGCTGCCTTTGCAGAACCCATGTGGTGCTGGTGGTAGGGACTGGCGAGATGAAAATTTTCTCAGTAGACCCAGGAAATCTCCAGCCAAAAGGGACCTTTAGAAATCATTAAATCTCCCATTTTTTGGCTTATGTGTCTCTGGGCCACTTCATGAAGTGATAAGAAAAGTTGTTCCTACCGAGATAGGACTTCAGATTTTATCCTCACTCCTTGTAAATTGCTGTCCTCGGATTCTGAGTGCAAGCGCCGTGAGCCTTTGGCGCTGGAATCACTGACGTCTGCAGCAAATGGCAATGTTGACTTTCTGGAACATCAACACAAAAGAACACTTGGACTCTTCCTTTGTAGCCAAATGTTACACTGGATGTTTCTTGGTCTCACCTGTTCCCTCCTTGTTTCAGCAGCCTCTCCTTCTCAGAATCCTAATTAGCCAGGTGTGGCTCCTATGACCATTTCTCTCAAAAGCGGGTCTCGGTTCCGACTTTGCTTCTCTGTGGCTACATCCCTCCCACACGGTTTCCCCTGATTTGGTGCCACGGGGCGTGATGGGCTGTGGCTCCTCTGAACTGCACTCTCTGCCCCTGCCTTCTGATGGCAGGGGAACCCCTCAGGGTGCTGTCTGGAGCGGTGCCTATGTCACCAGGAGGGCGTACACTGCAGCGGACCACTCCCTGGTGGCCTGTGAGTTAGTGTAATCCAGAAAGTGGAGACCACCCCAGGCCTTTCCGACAGAGGCGTCCGTGTAGGGAGTTAATGACCAAGATGCTGGACAGGCCATGGACCCTGGAGAACAGCCAGGTAGACCCCCACTAGAAACAGCAGAAAGCAGCTTGGAGGAGAAGGCCCAGGGGAGCAGCGGCTGCCTTGCTCCTGGGTGAGGCTTGTCTGAGGCTGGGACTGCCAGGGAGGAGCCCACACTCAAGAAAGGCAGGCATTTGAAGCTGAGGAAGGGCAGCACTGTGGGCAGCTTCCTCAGTACTGGATGCTGGGGTAGAGCAATACCTAGCACCAGGTAGGTGCTTGGTTTCTGCAGGGTGAATGAAGTAATGAGTGAGTGAGTGAATGGATGAATGAATGAATCGGAGGCTCATTTTGAGAGACAGGATCTGATTCAGTGCTGGAAGAAGAACACACTTCTTGTCTGGCTACATCAGAAGGCGGCGCCAGGCAGCGTCTTGTGGCTCCTTGCTAGCAGGCTCAAGGGTGATTTTGGAGATGAGTGATTGTGACTGCACCCTCTGCTGCTGAGCCAGCCCAGCCACCCACCCCACCCCACCCCGAGGCGCGCCTCCGTCCGATGGGCTGTTGGGGAATGAGGCGCACACAGCCGC